CGAATCATGACGAATCACACTTACGAAAAAATAGTATAGAGTTTTACTTCTGTTAGGTATTCTGTGCTATTATCAATATAATTATAATTTCAATATACCGTACGTAATTACCTCCGCCAGGAGGTTATGTAATCACCTCCGCCAGGAGGTTATGTAATCATCTGGGTTTGTGTGCGTATGTGTGTGCGCGTGTTTGTCTGTGAGCACGATAACTCAAAAAATACCGAACATATTCGTACAAAATTTTAGGATTGCATTTCCCATCGGCAAAGGAAGAAGTGATTAAAATTTGGTTGAATTTAGTTAAAAATTGAACGAGAAATGAACAAAAGTTTTGTCTTGCTTTTCCCGGCGGTCAATTAAAAAAAAAACACTGAATGCGTAATGGGGCGCATAATTAGGATGTGTATTATGGCTCAGTAACATGGGCGGAGGTATGCAGTCTCTCAGTGCCCTCTAGTTTATTTTTTGATGGAAGCTGTTAGCTTTAAGCTGTTTTGCCTCATCACTGTGGTGAACCTCAAGAAAAAGATATTTTTAGTTATAATATTTTCTTAACTGGTGCACGATGAACGTATTAGCAAATATGGCTTCTATAACGTTTATCGTCCACCCCGGTTCTTTAACGTTTCGAGTCTTGCTTTTTAATTTTATGCCAGTATTATATTATCTGAAGAAAAATAAACAATCTTATTCATCAATCTTAATACCGTAATTGAAAATATTGAAAATGTGTATTATATTCGAATATTGAATACACTGATAAATATGATCCCTTGCAAATTTATTATTGATTGCAAATATTTTTCTTGATAAAAAGTTACGAGCTATATATCTAACTTTATAATATTTTCATTCATTCCATTCGGTGCAAAATACGTACTAGCGATGTTATATCCGCGGGAAACTCTTTCATCGACTATTCGCGATGCATCAAATTCTGAAAACGAATATTATGTAAATTCACTCACATGGCGAATTTTGCGGCGCTAAAAGACTACCAGAATATTTCCATGCATATATATCATTAGCTCTGACAAATTTTCTATATAGTTTGTGCTTGTTAAATTATATATACCTCTCTCATGCAACAAAAAATACTAAATATTAATAGAAATAAAGTTCAGGAAATCATTTTCCCCTTATTGGACTAATTTTTTGAAAGGGATTATTCTGAGTTCGGTTTGCTACTCTTCTAGTTTGTGATATTATTGGAGTTGCTGTTATTTAGGATAAATAACGATGAAAACAGTGCTTTTAAAATGGATTCCCTGAGTCGTTTTGTTGTGGCTTCGGTGGACGGAATTTAAACAAAATGCCGGAGTGAAACAACCAAACCAGCAAAAAAATTGATATTAAAAAGCAGTTAAGATGCCTTATGCAATTTAGCACTCGGTGACATATTAATGGGTTGTTTTTAAGGCGAGCGCTATCATATTTTATATAATAACGTTAAAATTCAAACATTTTCATTGGTCGAGAGCAATCATTTATAAGAGGACAGACTCACGGAATGACCTCACAGATAATTTTAACGAATTTGATCAGTAATCTCGTGTTTTATTTTGTCAGCCAATCACATTTTAGCACGTGTCTTAAGCGAGCCAATAGCATATCGTCAATCCCAGATCATATACGCGTGATATCTGCAAAATTTCTACTTTGACAATTTTCCTAGTGTTGTGGAAACTATTTGCCTGTTTAACTTCGGAATTTTCTCGATTTTATTATGTAAGTGCGAGTGGTCGCTTTTAATTTGTTCTTATCACAAAGACGTCATCCGTGCATGTATCTATCTGTAACTGAACAGATAACGATTCAATGTTATTTATTTGTTAAACATTTCATGTAATTGGACAATTTGTGTATGCAACTACACAAGTAGAAAAGTATATTAATTGTGTATTTATACCTCTGTCCAAATTGCAAGGCCACGAAACAAAGTCTCATGCGAGCGCCATCACACAGAAGGAAACCATATTCGAACGAAATCACCCGGCATCCGCCATATTGAATATAAATACGTTGTCCGTTTCACGTAAAACTCCCGAAAAACTTCTACAGATATTCATTTTTATACCTTTTTAAATCTCATTGACATTGCATTGTCCTATACTAGGCCCCTGTCGCTGCCCTGCGGCCGCTGGTTCAAGTCCGTATTGATTGAGCCAATATTATCAAAGTGAGCGATAATACAAAGAACTGCAAATATAAAAGATTATATTGTCGGTATAGTTACCGTCTTCACTTACCAGCAAAACTAGGTAGTCTTTTCCTATGTTGTATTTACCGCAAGCCTTTAGTATATGCCTTTAGTACACAATACTGTCAAGCAAAGTAGGTTCTTTATTGAACCGCCATATACCAAATTGTTTGCATATAAAACATGGTGCTTCTCTGCAGCAGCGCAGCTTCGACAAACTGAGGTAATTTATTTCATGTTCAAGGTGGTCGGATTTGATATGGTAAACAAAAACACAGTCATGCGTAGCTCTTTGTTCCCTTTGTTTTCACCTTTTGTCTAACCATTTGTTTCCTGTTCTCGTTTGGACTCTAAGGACCGTTTCATGCGTCGTATTGCATCACTTCATGTGTGCCGAATTCAAAACCATAGATAACCATCTTGAATGCCTCATTATAAGGAAAATATGATAATTATACTGTATGTACATGCAGTATACAGGGTGTCCCAAAAACTGTTTAAATTATCCAGAAAGATTTGAATTGTCAGAGTTTAAATGCCTAAGCACCCTTTTGGGACCCAAAAGTGTATAAATGTTTAAGGCCCAGTTCATACGTCGCATTTTGGTCGCGTCGAATGCAATTCAAACAGTACATAATGAGATGATAAACCTCTTTAAGACTCATTAAGCATTCTTATACAGGATGTTTAAAAAAAACGCAACACTTAAATATGCCAGAATAGTAATATTGTTCGGGTTTGCACCACAGTTCAGCTAAAATGACTTTTAGCATTTTAAATGAAGGATTAAGAGCCATTTTCAATTCCCAGAGGCAGAGAGGTACTTATCTACAGAATTGAGCTTTAGAGCTGTATTAATGTTCTTGCATATTTGAGTGGTTGCGTTTTTTTTAGACACCCTGTACATGATAACAGTAATCTATTTTTACCCACAAATTATCTTCATTACGAATATTTACACTTTACAAAATTTATATGGATTGCAATATTTAGATATACATGTTCCTTTTATATGTTCGCACGAAAAATTCAACTTTGAAAAAGGCCTTTATTATTCTAATTTATGAAACTTGTCCAAATTTTGTAATTATGTTTACTTACAAGAACTATAGCTCTGACATAAATTTCGAACCAAAATAAAGTATATCTCAAGGGATAATACGTTGTTTGAATCGAGAAGCAATCGAGGGCAATAAAAATAAACCTAAAGACCTGATTTACTGTCTGGTGAAAGGTTTGTACAGGTTTGCGTTTTAAAGCGCGTATTTTAATAAAATAATTTTGTACGATATAAAAAAATGGTTATATGTTCCACATACTGTATAAATATTCTGTAAAAAGTGTCAAACTGCCACAGGAAAAACGTCAAAGTAAAAAACCCACACACCCACCAACGTCAAATTGACGTCGTTCCTCGTGGCAAGTTGTGTATGGATGCCACCCCTTACCAGTAGCCGAATTTTGAGTTTAGTTCGTAACGAATTTAGAGTATGTTCGGTTTACTATTAAATTGTATCAATACTCAACAAAATTAATACCTTCCAATATCTGCTCGCATTCTTTGACCACTCTAGCGATTTCTTCGAGCAAACTTGTCGTTTCTTGATCCATATTAAAACGTATGAATTGAAAAAAATCGATAAAATATCGGCGATCAGTGAAGACGCGTTACACAACAGCGACGAAAATTTGAAAAGACGCGCTTCTTACCCACAATGCTTTAGCGTTTTTTCATTGAACCGCGCGATCACGCGCGATATGTCGCGCACACGAAGTTAGGTCGCAATCAATGCTCCTTTCCATGATAATTAAAATTCAAAATATCAATATTTGACTTTTGCATTGTAAAACTTACTTTTAGTATATCAAATATTATTGTACATGAGTAGTGAATTAAGGTGATTTTTCTAGTGCAATAACCAAGCGCACCTATTGAAAGGCAAAATGTGACACATTTCTCTCTGGATGACATTTGTTTCTAAACAGCTTCTATATTGTAAAAATTGTTGTACATAGGACTTAGCTAGATATAATTCATGAAGGGAGGCGGAAATTCGTTTATTGTAAATAATAATAATTCTATTGTATAGTAATTTTTTACTATACACATTTTAGCTCTTGTTTTCAAAATAATCTTCTTATTCCAAGAAATTATTTTCTTGAAACGAGGATCAGATAAGGCAAGCTTTCTTATTTTAGGAAATATTTGGGATATTGCTTTATGAAGGGAGGCGAAAATTCGTTCATTGTAAATAATGATAATTCTATTGTATAGTATTTTTTTACTATACCCCATTTAGCTCTTGTTTTCAAAATAATCTTCTTATTCCAAAAAATTATTTTCTTGAAACGAGGATCAGATAAGGCAAGCTTTCCTATTTTAAGAAATATTTGGGATATTGCTCAAAATTATTTTTCTCATATTCACAATTTCAGAAGTTAAGATAATCTTTCTTATGTAAAGAAATTATTTTCTCAGTTTAAGAAAAAAATTTCCAATTCATAAGAATACAATTTCTTGTGTTAAAATCTGTAAATCTGTGGGCTGACCACTTTCTTATTTTGAGAAATTACTTTTCTAAACGAGATTTTATATCCTGGAATTAGAAAAAATTATCAGTCTAAGAAAAATTTTCTTTACATAAGAAAAAAATTCTTAAAATAAGATATATTTTCTCAATAAGAAAATGATTTTTTGCTATGTATAATTCTACTCGAAATTAAGACCCCTTAAAGCATCTAGAATTATACACGTAAACTCACAGCGGCAATGAAATATTTCAACAAACTTGTATATTCATAATTTTTCACCTGGGGTCACCTTCGTCTTTATACTTTTGCTCCACCCTGTGGAGTAGTAGGAATTCTAGACGAAAGACATGTAGTTAACTTTAGGATCCAATGAAAACAAATTTATTATTTATACATGCTATATCACATTCATTCATTTACCTGGCTTTCAAAGAATCTCAGGAACACGTTGTAACTTGTGTTTGGTTGAAGAGGTTGATTAACGTATGTTACGTTTTCATAGCTGTATTTTTTGCCATCACCGATCACGAACGACAAAGGGAGAACGTCTGCTCTCAAATAAGCAGTGATATAAAGATCTTGAGTGTCTGATTGGTACGGTCTCAGTTTACTTGTTTTTATGTCTTCACTAGGTGTTTGACTACTTGACGTTGCTCTTTGAACAATAATCAGTACTTCTCTGAATGGAGAAAACATGACTGATGTTCACACACACTTGCTTTGACAAAATGTTACGCCTAAAATGTACACGCACCTTATGTAGGGCGCTGCCTTAGGTATCGTTAAACCAAGATCAAAGTGGGACATCACAACAGGGTTCACAGGCTCTACATCATAAAATAACACATTGAAGTTTATGAGTTCACGGCAACCAGGTATATAATCCATCGTAATTATCGATATCGCTACTCTGGTTTTAGTAAATGAAAGTAATCACCACACAAAGATTAACTTTCACGACCCGGGTCGTGAAAGTTAATCTTTGTGTGGTGATTACTTTCATTTACTAAAACCAGAGTAGCGATAATTACGATGGAAAATAACACATGTTAATTTCACTTTGGAGTAAAAAATTAACAATTTTTTATGTCGTTCGGCCATGCTGTACGCTTTTTAAAAAGTCCTTTTTATTTTCTTTACCTCCATCTGTTATTTCACTTATTTCTGAGCTTGTGTTTCCAAAACCAATTTTTGTACCAGCCGAGACTGTCACAAAGTATTTTTTTGAAGGAATAAGATTAGAAATAACGTATGTTAAGGTAGACAAAACCTTTATGTTTGAACATTTCGGACTTTCATCATTTTCCTTTCTAGAAAAACAAATCTGATATCCCACCAATTCACCGTTCCAAAATATCTTATCAGGAGCTCTCCAAGAAATTTCGAGCGAGTTTTTACTACGAGATTTAATCATAACACTGCCTGGAGCTCCACTTGGAACTATGATAGTAAAGAATAAAAACAATTATTTGAATTTGAATTATTAAGAAAAAATCAGAAGCCTCTCTACATTATGCATACCAGCTTCTTTGGTCTTGAACTTATGGTAAACTATTGTCTGAGTATTCTTTAGTTGACCATCCTGTGTCTTTATGCCAACAACATAATTAGTGTTTGGTGTGAGCTCTCGAAGAATGTATTGATTTGCATAATATGCGCGCGATATTTTTTTTACCTCGGTACCGTTTAGGTAAATGATAAAATGTGTGATGAAAGTGGATGCCACAGGCGATGGTATTGTCCATGACAGATGAACAGAGAAATTTGATGGTTTAGCAAAAACGTTTTCAACAGGAGCCAGAGATTGCACTGGGAGAAAGATGGAATTAATTCAGTTCGAAGAAACATTGAACTGACAAATTTAAAAACTGACAAACCGCACCTTCTCCGCAGAGTTCTATTCTGAGACAAAAGTCTGTATTTCCAGTTGATTGTATCTTGATATATCTCGCATTATAAATATCAACGTCCGTGGTCGATGCTTGAAAGCTGTACATGTTTCCTGTTATCTAAAAGAGGATTTAGGAAGAAACGCACTTTCTTATTTCATAGGCCAGATTAAAAAATATCGCCTAAAAGCAAGAAATTTTTATCCGCGTTTGAGCCAGTAATTTTGCAAATAAATTATAATTGCAGTCTTTATATAAACTAAGTTTCATTACAGCAGAATATTGATCACGCATCAAGGACACTCACGTAGCTACTAACCTGTAAACCACTACCACCGTCTACCAAACTTTCATCATGACTGTATTTCAATGAATATGATCCACTCGACTTTGTCTGATCTTTATCACCCATAATCATTACGCGTGTTATGTGATAGTCGTTTTGAAGGTCAATCTTAAGATATTTGTTTCCAGACTCGGTTGGACACCAACCATTGCTAGAAAATCTCGCTTCTTTGTACTTGGTATTGTCAGCAGAACCACTTCCAGAAAATACAGTGTCTGAAAACTTAGTTTCGTTCTGTAACAATGGGTTCTCGCATATCTCACTGCCTAAATAAGACATAAATTAAAGTGGTATAGTAAGTATATTGAATTTTGTGGGGGGCAGCCAGATACCGCTATACTTTTTCTTCCACGATTGCCCGTTAACTTCGTTTTAACTGGAACACATGCAGAGGTATAGATCATATGTACTCACATGTGAAATATGGCAACTTGATGTCAGGAGCGACCGTAGCAAGTAGAAGATGGGTACAACAGGGGGTATTGCTTGATTTTGTGTTGTTATAACAGAGATCACCGGTTGCAATAACTTGTCTGTTTCCAATTTCCTTTGTACTGACATTGTTCCAACTTGTCCCAATGAATCCTAAACGCTCACACAGGATGTTTTCCCGGTTCTTAAACGGAATTTCTTCATTAACTTTTCTCCAAGTGGAACCGTTTTTTATTTCAAGGAAACCTTTGTTAGGTGACTTGGATAATCTTATGTTGGAAGCTAAAATAGAAACAATATTTCCTGTCATAGAATATATCACCAGAATTTATACCTTTCCCAGAGCAGTCTGTATTAAAGTTCATATTACCTGTTGTTATGGGTTCTACGTAATTATCCACACAAGTGTATTCAACATAAAGTTCTTTTGCAATATCAGAGCAATATTTTGATGGCAGTAAATTATTGTTGACGGTCAGTTCACAGGAACTTTTTCCACTACAAAGAAGTTTCACCTGACAATTTGTTAGTCTACTACACTGCGCATCAATGGCTGCATTCACATCAAATGTCCTGCTTTTATTGAAATTACCATAATGAGCTTTGTGGATCACCATACGTTGTTTTGGAGAACATTGAACACCTTTCATTTCGTCGCCGTACTGCGTTACTGAACCTAAAATCGCACAGACCAAAACATTATATTACATTAGTATTGCATCAAAATAACTGTCATAGTTATTCTACTCATTTTATCCCTGAACTCCAATTCAATTCTTAACATTATTGTGCAAGAAACAAGAGCTAGGTCACACGGAAACGAGGGCACGAAAACGTGACAAACGAAAATTTAGAACGTCAATAATGGATTAGAAAACCTGTTATAAAACCTGTTATGTTAGTTCCACTGTAAAAATCTGAAGTGTAAACGTCTTACCAAAAGTAAACTTTTGTTCTGCTGTGTCGCCGCATGAAGTATTTTTCACGTCAACATACTGTCCACTAGGCCTAGGCTGAACACAATTTTTCACTTCGTAAAGAAATAGAGATCCACCAACTGTTTGTTTTATACGATGTTTTGTGTTGTTTGCATAATCTCTCCCAGCCTGATTTTTACCAGCATATAGAAACAAACGATTTTTGTAGTTTGTATTACCATATTCAGACGCGACGTTCCCTCCCGTCTCGATATTGTGCAACAGATTGTTATCGAGGTAACGAAACAGCGCAGTATCATTCAAGCAGTTGGTGACCATTTCAGCCCAATAACGGGAGGCATAGCTATCATCTCGAAAGGCTGTAGTTTCAGCAGCGAGACACATTCCTGACTGAGTGTGTCTGATAAAAAACCCTTGACAACGCGAAAATAGGCAATTAACGCTTAATTCACCGGCCAACGAGGTGGTGGATACGGGATTACCAGCGGCTTAGAAACCAGGGACAGGTATTTACCTGAACTCTGAGTGGTACTGAAACGCTGTTTGACTATTTTTGTTTATTATGGCCCTATTAAATAGCATACCAATCATGATTGCTACACCATGCCTATAATTATAATAACTCGTGCAATCTAAACTTATCGTGCTTTCTATTCTAGTATACCTTACCAGCTCTTTTAGTTTTAAAGCTTTTATAAACTATTGTGGACGTCATGGAATTTCCATCCTGTGTCTTTATGCCAACTTTATAATAAGTGTTCGGGTTGAGACTTCGAAGAATGAAATGATTTCCATATTGAGCACGGGATATTCTTTCTCTCTCTGTGCCGTTATTCAAATAAATGATAAAATGAGTTATATAAGAAGACGTTTTAGCCAATGGTATTGTCCACGTTAGATTGACAGAATAGAACGATGGTTCGGCGAGAATCCTTTGTACGGGAGCTGGCGTTTGGACTGGAATGAAAGAAAAGTAAACAAGACGCAAGTCGCAAGTTTCATTATACCTACTACAGCAGGTGAACAAGCTTGAGCTCTACATCTTATAAATTTAAACTAAAAAAACATTTTAAATAGTGAAAATCGGAACTTTTGTGATCATCATTCATCATCCTGTCCGATATTTATTGTTTCAGAAGATTTCGGGCGATTCTACCGACTCACCTTCACCACACACTTCTATTCTAAGGCAAAAGTTTGTTCCTCCGTTTGACTTCAACTTCATGTATTGGACATTATAAATATCCACGTCTGTCGCTGATACTTGACAAGCGTTTTGATTTCCATTTATCTAGAAAGATATTGAAAAATATGAATTACTTCAGTTACGATAACGTCCTTCGATTGCTTTCCAAGTTGTAGTAGGATTTAGCAATAAAGGTGGTTAGTGGAGCCACGAACGAAAAGCTCCTTACATTGTTCTGCAAAACCTCCCAAGTCAGTGGAAAAATTGAGTAGCCATGAATATGCTACTAGGTATCTCTGCTTTACGCTACAATTCGTTTTCTTGTGTATTTTTAGGCATTTGAAATAATCTTGATAACTTCACTCATTATAATATTAACATTAATCTATATATTTCTTATTCTAGCTTATACACCTGCACTTCATCACCGCCATCCACCAAACTTTCATCATGACTGTATTTCAATGAATATGATCCACTCCACTTTGTCTGATCTTTATCACCCATAATCATAACTTGTGTTATGCGATAGTCGTTTTGAAGGTCAATCTTAAGATATTTGTCTCCAGACTCGGTTGGACACCAACCATCGCTAGAAAATCTCGCTTCTTTGTACTTGGTATTGTCAGTAGAACCATTTCCAGAAAATACCGTGTCTGGAAACTTAGTTTCGTTCTGTAACAATGCGTTCTCGCATACCTCACTGCCTAAATAAGAGATAAATAAAGTGGTATAGTAAGTTTATTGAATTTTGTGGGGGGAAACCAGATACCGCTATACTTTTTCTTCCATGATTGCCCGTTAACTTCGTTTTAACTGAAACACATGCAGAGGTATAGATCATATGTACTCACATGTGAAATATGGCAACTTGGTGTCAGGAGCGACCGTAGCAAGTAGAAGATGGGTACAACAGGGGGTATTGCTTGATTTTGTGTTGTTATAACAGAGATCACCGGTTGCAATAACTTGTCTGTTTCCAATTTCCTTTGTACTGACATTGTTCCAACTTGTCGCAATGAATCCTA